TGCATGGAAGACAAAAACTCGTATGTATATATCAAGTCACAGTGACACGAGCTGTGAATGATTGGCAATATCGTGTAAAACATAGTTGAGAGACGTTTTTCTTCCCGACGGAAAGTATCGGAATACACGCGCCATGCATTCCAGACCTGGATATATGAAGGAGGATTTACATTAATACGTATTGAACTCCGTTCGGTATTTCAATTTAAGCTTTGCGATGATACATAAAATGTACAAAGAAGGTGGCGCAGAAATAAAATTGTATTAAAGATCCGCTTGTTGTAGACTATTTAAACAATTAAAAGCATCGAGTATGAGCACTCATGTATATAGTATACGGTCAGTGTGAGAGCATCACCTGTGATGAATGGATGCGTACATTTCACTCGCGACCCGAATATTTCATTAAACGAGCTTTGCGACACTAGCACGCGTCACACGGCAGGCATGGAGGGGCGCGTCGACACTGATCCACTAAGCTTACTATAGAAATTAATACGTAAACTGCTCTAACCTACGACTATGCGACAAATACTGCAGATAAAATCTGCTACAGTGCATAGGGTTTTCGGTGGCTTAATAGGGGTTGTCCGGACTACGTTCGATACAGCGTTGATTGCGGCAGTACTGTTGCTATACTATTTGTTTTGATTATGAACAAAATATTGCGGGTATTTAGCGGATCATACTGCTGAAACCTTATATAACGATGGATGAATTGACGAATGGATTATAGAGATAGTTACAATAATGTATTTGATTTTCATGAAGCATTTACAAGTTTATTGTTAGTCTATTCAGATAATATATTTTTATCATAAATACAAAAGTAATTCTGTCTTTTGTTTTGAGGTACTTGATTACACTTTGAGGGAAAGCTACTGTTTAGTACACTAGCTCCTTTATCACATTAATTATTATTAATTACATTTAACAAAATATGTATAACTACATATAAATATATCGTCTGCCCGCGATCACGTATGCTATAAAGGAACAAAATGTTGAGATTATAGAGGTATAGAAGAATTAAAAACGCATAGTATACGAATAACTTACATATCATTACTATGACATATTCAGGAGAATATTATAGTAAGAAGATATCATAATCACAGCTAATTTAATTTATATTAGAACATACGATAAGAGCTCACTAACTGTGCATTATAACATGTTTCATAGCTGTGTTAAACTAAATATGCATTTAGTGTTATAACAAATATATCAGAACTAACTGGGTTTTATTACATATTCATTGGAGTCAACTAAGTATATATTACGACGTATTCAATGGTATAAAACAGATATCTATTATCGGTCACATAATAACTGTAAATTCTGTATTTAATCTTCATATTATTATACATATAATAAATGGTACTGTTTTTTACAAACACATCCAAAGTAGATTAAAACACTTGTGCGAAATCTGTACCAAGTTCTAGTGTATTCCAGCCGTCTTTATAGTACTGTTGGACTTATCTTACAACAAACAGAGCGGACTTTGCTCATTCTCATTATCTCGCTTACGGCAGGTTACGGTTTACAGGAGCATTATTAACTTTAAAAATGTTCCACTTCGTCCGGAATGGATCGAAACTATGTTGTCTCTACAGTCTAAGGAGACTTTTTATTACTTCACTATTAAGTGTACCCATTACAGTAATATAAAGATATTCATCATTAATTTAAACACTTGAGTTAATATCATAATAACTTAAGATGATTAAAAATATTAATCACTACGAAAACCATGTCTTACTAAAAATAAGATTTAAAAAATTCAGACGCTATTTATAAATAATAATATTTTTAGTACATTTTAATTAAAACGTGATTTTTATGGAATACTATTAAAAATAAATTACTATATAATATCTCCCAGATGGGTTTTGAGACCTCAATAAGTACATACAGAGAAACATTTTATACATTCACCTTATTAGGTTAGAATCCTAATAGTATATTTTGTAACAGCACTTGCTTTTAATGCTTTTTTGTGTTATATAAACTTTCGTATCAGAAGGTGACTTGGGTCTAAGACGAAGTTTTGTATAAACGTAAGTAGTGGAGGGTGGCGCGGACACATTGGGGAGGTGCACGTACAAAATTCTAACAGGCAAATCCGAGCACAGCACTCGTCGGGAGTTTATTACCCTACTCATATTTACACAATTCGTGGGTGTTAGCGGTCCAGGCGAGAGACCGTCGCTGGAGAATTCCCCTAGGTCCATACTTTTCCTACATCTAAATTCTTTTTGATAGAAATTTTCTTTGACAACTCTTCTATATTATGTGTTATTTCAATAGATCAATAGAGCGTTCTTGATATCTCTTGTGACCGCGGTGTATATGTAGTATAAATAATTTATATATAAAATAGAAGTATATTTCACTAAAAAAGATTAAATGGAAGGAAAAATCTAAACGGTTATATGTAAATAATATCTTTATAATATATTTTCTTTTCTGTGTACATCGGAAGAGCGTAGTTGCAACGTAATATTTTAAATTAAATATCAGGAATGAGCAAAGCTTAAGTCAATTAGTAAATGGATTTATGTATAAGGATATTAAAGCTTGTAATGAATGAAGACAACAACAGCTATAAAGAACGCGAGGCCAACTCGGGTGATTAAGTATCTCATTTAAATGCAGTCTCCCAATGCGGACGTCTCAAACGAGAAAGGAGCGGTGCTCGCGGAAAACGGAAGACGAGGCTCCTCGTAAAAGGAAGAAGAGGTATTTAAATTAGCGTACTCGCTGAAAAAGTGCACTAACAACGTTAGCGAATGGAACAATGGCAGAGTACACAAAGGAAAAGAATACCCGAACGGTCCGAGTACGAGGCCAGAGAGCTCCTAGCGAGAAGCACGTAACTATTAGAAACACAGCCAACACCCGCATCAGACGTACTCGCTCTAATGAACCTTATACAAAAAAACCGACGACGTGAAATCAAAGAAACATTAGTAGAATTAACTAATATAAGATGGTGTCAGCTACCCTAGAATAGTATTAAGATGCCATTATGTAGTTGAGTGATTACTAATTAGACTTTAATGATAAAGAAATGAAAAATGTTCAAATGACTTAACCGTTTGCTATTCTTATATTAATTAAATTTACTTTAATGTAATAAGATACGATTATTTTTCTTGTATATAATGGTAATAAATATAACAGGGCAGCAATGATATAAATTTTGATTGCAAAAGTGCACTTAGAGGTTTTCTTAAAATTTATCTCGATTTCAAAGTTAGTGATATACGATATTCTCGATTCGTAAATCGCTGTCTCACTCAACACTGCCTGTATTTTATGGTTGTTGATGATAACTTACGGCCCCATTTAATCCACTCTAAGATCACAGACATCTGAGAGCTGCGTTTTCTTACTGAAAATTTCTTCATTGTCAACAATATTAACAAATACAGTCAGCGATAATTGCGATTTTATGGGCTGGAACGAAATATAGGCCATCATTTATTTATACTTCGTTAACGTTTCACTTTATGTATAAACTCGATTGGTAGTTTGTATTGAAAGTGGAAGCCTTTATAGACATTTTATGGAAATAGTTTTTGTGTTAAATCTTTAATAGATTAAACATTTTAACTGGTCGTTTGGACTCACACAAACAGATTTAATGAGGTCGTGTTGCTGCTGAATATGTACTTTATATGAAATTAACAAGTATTTCAACTCATTCGTATGTTAGGGTATAAAAATTATAAATTCTTTTATATAATCTCACTTTAAGCTGTAAAAATGTTTAACAACGTTACACTTAGAATTATAAAGTGCGACGTTGTCTGACCTACCCAGAAATGCTGAACTTGGTCCCCCAACTACTGGAATCAATTTCCAACTTAGCGTCCTTTTGAAACCGCAGAGTAGAGTTGAATTAAATTGCATTAATAGCAGAATCCTCGGTCGCAATCATTAAAAGTTGGAATAGATGAATTGATTTATATTCGATTGACTAAACAAACTAAATACTACTTATTTCAACTAAATAATAGCTTTACTGATGGCACATTAATGTATACGTTAATTTTTATATGTATCTTGTTTGTTGGTGTAAAATATTTAACAAAAGGATTGTTAGTAAAGCATATTGATTCATATTCTTGTTTGGAATATAAAATAAAAAAATTATATACTCGTTAAGTCTATCGAAATATAATTTGCGTGATTAATTCTTTTACGAGAAAAAAACATTTCTTTCCTATATAGTATTTCTCAAGAGAGTATTTTTTATTTATACACATACTTCAGGTTTCCTTGCCTTTTAAATACTTAAAGCTTAATCTTTTGCTTTACAGTTTATTTGTTCAGACAGACTATTTTCTTACTGATTGAATTTCAATATAATCTGTTTCCCAACAAAATTTTGCAAATGACATGAACATCACATAAACTTGCAACTTTTTATTTGATGGATAACACATGAATGTAATAAAAAACTATTTAATAGATTATTATAGAACTTGATTAAAAATAAATCAGGTTATAATATACATACATCAGCACTTTATTATACATATATATACATAATATTGACAGGCTGCGAGGCACAGTGATTATATGTATTTAAAATATTATAGGCCATTGAAATATTATAGGCCAGACCCGACTTTTTATAGAGTTTATCGATAAGCTTAATATATGTATTAGATTCGTATATTTTCAAACTAATAATATTTCGCCGACCCAAACCAGAGGTCAGCGTATAAATATAAGTTTTTACTGTCCTAAGCCCTTAATATTTATAGGTCGGTTCACATACGATAAACAAACTAATGTTTGAAAGTTGCGAGGACGACCTTGTTAATCCAACACTATCGCCCAAACAAATTAGTAACAACATTAATATATCCCCTGTATCCACCAACTTTCCCGCAATAAGCAAAATGTATTACTGTTATTTATATCGCTCATGCGCTAACAAAGTTTTAATTGCAAGTGCCGATAGAATTTGCGTACAAATGAATTTATTCGCTGGATCCGCTCTGCATTCGGGTGAGACTGTCGGGTGGTGAAGTGTCGCGTCGCGGTGAAGCCCGGGTGTGTGCTACGCGACTGTGCGCAGCCGCTAATTGCGGGTAATGAGGTGCCGCCGCGCTGTCTAGCGTTCACGATACTTAATCAGCACTACATGATTGATACACGACATACTGTGTGAGCCACTTAGAGATATTGAAAGTATAGAAATGGTCCGCAATTCAAAGTGAGGATCAGGAACAATATTCAGTATTCGGCCAAACAAAAGGGTGATAGCGGTACGTGCGTAAATCAAACGTCGTACAATAACAGTGCCTCCCGCGAAAACCCTCTTCATCCCCCCCTCCCGCCCCTCTACTATTCCCCCTTCAGACCCCACTCCCCTACTGTTCTGCGCCACAGACTAAATGTCATCCAGAGGCAACGCTTCCATTGAGGATGCGATATTTATGATTATTCGAGTAGGCTCCCGCTATTGTTCAAACACACAGTACACATCATATTTTCACACCCAATAAAATATTTTTGATGTCAACTGTGATATTTTATCCGTTGTAAGTATCTTACTTGTGTGATATTAGAATTTTTGCGCCATTCGAAAATAACATTTCCGTGATACTTACTGTTAAATTTACTTTTAAAATGTATAAATATTTTATATTCCATGATGAATGTTTTTGAATAAAGTTGAATTGAAAGAATCATTTGTAAATAATGATCATCATAATTGCTTCCTTTGTTATGACACACAATTAATATCTTAAATTCATTTGTCAGACACTTTGAGATCTTTATTAATTAACTGACATTTGACCTTAAATTTCATACAACTTAGGTTTCAAAACGAAACAGATTTTGTGTATTTCGTATAATAAATGATGAAATCAGATCAAGGTTGATTATGACATAAATATGCTTACATCAAATTAAAAATTATTTTTGAAAACTCGCAAATAGAATAAATCAATTACTTCATTAATATGTTATATTTATAGACGTCGTAAAAAACATATTCATTACATTCGGTACGGTAGTTTCGAATAATTACGTTTAATAATCCTGCTATCAAAAATTCTCAAACATTCATAAAATAAAGTCTAACTAATGAGAAACAAAAATATCAAACAATACAAATATTTGTACGAACTGTTCAAAGTAAAATTACCTTTTTTATATCGAACAACAAATAACCTACATTTTAAAACAACATACGCAATCTCTCGTCTTGTTTTCCAATAATAATCGTTCCATTCGAATGACGTGAATTAAAATGTATATATCAGTAGGTGAATATATCAGTAATAATAACATTAAAACCCGTACAATATAACTAAACTCATATCGTACGGCCTCCGCTGAAGCAGTAGGGGATTACATTTCTCGTTCCGATAGTACGATACCATCGCACTTTGCTCCATTCGCTGCAATTAACGAGGCACAATGACCATATAAATCTCCGTTGAATGTTCATTTTATACTCTCTACCTATGGAAATGTATATTGATGTTGGTAGTGTAACAGACGTCCAAATGGATCACGGTATTGTTAATGAGATATATAATCAATGATAGAATACGAGAAGGACGTCGGTGGAGTAAATCATTGGAGCGGGCTGTCGGCTCGGGGGCTGCTTAATCTTACCTATACGTCTAGAGCCGATGAACAAACAAGCCGCGAGCCCAGATTACTGTTCCTATAAATCAATGTTACGACGCGTTAAAATATTTAAGCTGACGATTAATGCCTGTCGCGAATAACGTCTTAGAGGAAGGAATCGCGAGTCTCAGCTGCTGCGACTACGCCACCAGATATCCTTATAAATTATCAAAACAATCCATGACATATTTCTTTGTAGAACAATCAAATTGTATCACAATCGAGCTTAGTAAGACAAATATTTCGCTGAAAGAGGACCACTACAATTATTTAGTTTCCTCTTTTATACAAAGTAATTTGATATATGTTTAAAATGTCTGTGTGATAAAAACTAACAAATATTTAAGAACACTAAAATAAATAAGTATTCGTCTGGACAAATACATTATTATATTTAACCCAAGTAGTTGCAACTTAAACAGTATCAGTGAGGCGCTCTGCCCCTTCTACATCATAACGAAGCTCCCTAGGGAGGCTAGAAAACATTCTGCCTTGAGTAAAAGCTAATTTGAGGAGACAATTTTTAAAATTTATTATAAAAGATCTCTGAGAATACAAATTAGTGAATAGATTATAATAAAGAACAATAAAAAGTTTTTCTAACAAATTCGTAAGATCTGATAAAAAAAAATTGTTAATAATTATATTGCTTATTCTACATTTGTTTCATCATTTTCAAAAAAATCTGAAACTATAGAACTTGACTGTGTAGGTATAGTTCTGTATACTTCGTAATTTTTAGACGCTTTAATTTTATTATATGCAAGATACTATCTAAGAAACATGATATAAAAAGATAATAAACATTAGAAAATCATTACATACATAGGCTATATCATTGTATATGACTTTCAATACCGACCCACCTTTATATATAATGTAATTAATGCTAAGTTTTACAAGGCCTCGTTAATACGATAACCACACAAGATAACTGTTCCTAATCAGAGGTAATGACACGACGTCGATCCAAACGCTCCGGGGATCAGAATCCCATGACGTTATTGCAAATGAGAAATCCATGTCTAATTTGTACAGTTATATAACAATCATTCCTAAAATTAAAAGATATTCGTATGTATTTAAGAGTAGAAGCTGAAAAAAGTCATTCTCTCAACTAATAAAGTGTAATGGGGAAACTAAAAAAAGTTTTTATTAGACATTCTGTAATAAATATTCAAAAGTTGCGGAATTAAATTTCGTTCTGATTTTTATTAAGAGCTCCGCGAACCGAAGAGGATGGATACTTCTGATATAACGATATACTGGCGGAAGTAATAAAATAAAACGATTTTACATCTCTTGGGGAAGCGAACGTTTTTGTCGAATGGGAAAAGTCGCGAGCGACTTCTCATTTTGCGATAAAATCAGGAACGTTTTACGACAATCTTCTATTCGATTAACATTAAACAACAATCCAAAACAAACTTTTTTTAGCAATCCGAGTCTTAGTGCTTTCTTTTGTTTAAACAGATTAACCTTTTAAGCTTAAGTCGCTGAACATGGAATCCGGAGTGATTTCACAAATTTACTTATTATAAGAACAGATTTCGAAAGATTTAATTACTTTATAGAATACAAATACAATATCATATTATTGTATTGTACGTCATTTAATTAATGCATACAATTTATAAATGGAATAATTTTTAATTAGCTAAAACAATAAATTGAAATGCGAATCGTTGACTTAATAAGTTTGGATGTTTGCGCCACATTGGCACCAACATTTTGAATTTTAAATACGTTATTGAGATTAAGTATGCCATTACATAACCGTGAGTGCGAGTGCCAATTAAATTAAAAATGTTTGTTTTCATGAACACACAGCCAACTTGACTTTGTTACTTATTATTATATTATAGAGGTTTTTAAAGCACACTCCGCTCTAAAATTATATAATATTACGACCCATACAACAATCGTACTTGGGTTAGGCTGCCTTTCAAACAGAAAAATAACCACTCGAGATGATTGATTCGATAAAAAAATATTGGAGGAAAATTAAGAGGAAAAATTATATCTGTAAAGGATGAATTCTCTGTGTCCACTTAGCTTTACGGCTTAGAGGTCTTTGTGACGTTTTAAAGAGTATAAACTCGCTTAGCTAAAGTGACCGCGGCTGTACGTCTTCCAATGAACTGGTCACGTAAACACATTCCGTATTATTTCCCTAGGAGTCATCACGTGACTAGAATAATATCGCCAACAGTCCTCCGCGGACGGAATGCCTTACCCTTTACAAATAAACCGCTTTACGCACGATTCTCCAGCAGAGATTCATTATTCAACGTAACTTTGTTCACTGATTCATAAAATACGTTTAGTTTCATTTTATATTGGAACAAATATATTCCGCATCCTTTTCGGTTATCGTTTGAAGTTATTGTGACATATATGATTTGAATACGGCTAATTCAAAACAAAGTGAACAAATATAATGGAACTTAAAAAGGTCTGAATAACTTCAATTTCCCTTGAAATCGTATCGAAAATTATTTACACATAATTCTAGCGTATTTATACTGAAAATGAGATGCGGAGAAACTTCTGATATATGTTTACTATACTCCTAAAGTCTACCTCAAAACAACAACTACTGAGCTCGGTCTAATATAAGAGAACAACAGAACGCTTAAAGACAAAACCTTTGATGTAGCCATAGCAATTGAGTCCGAGAAACATATACGTAAGTGTATGTAAGGTTGTTTTACATGATCTTCTGTTTTGGGAGTAATAAAGTCGTCACTGGATACGTTCACCGGAGGCGATATTAGCTGGAACAGTTTATTGTACGACCTCGCACATAACTACCCATTTTCGTAGAGATAATGACGGATAAATATTTACATTGACGTTTTATTACGTGCGTTCGTATTACGCAAATAATATATGTATACCGTTATTATAAAATTGTATATAATATGCTTAAAATTTTCCAGTGACTAATATAAAGTATATTTACTTTTTTGTTATATATGTATGTATATTTACATGGACTCAGCAGATTAAGTCTCAAAGCTTATTTACATTTATGAATTGGATTCCTAAGTATACGAGTAGTTCTGTTTATAAATGTTGTTCCTTTCAAAGTCGAATATTTTCATTAACAACAATCTTACCTTGGATTGCATCTCAGGGCGGCGTGGTGCAGCGAGTTGAACCCGTTGTTGTTGGTGAGCGTCATGTCAGCCCCGTGATCCAACAACAGTGTCAATATGTCGTCACGCTTCTTCGATATCGCGTCATGCAACGGAGTATCGCCCTCGGAATCCTGTAAACAACAAACACATCATTCATTCACAGCACCATTCAATAAATTCACGAATCATTAATATTCTTAGTTCGAATATGTTTTTGTTTATAATACATTTATGAATTATAAATCCGTATCCATACATAACATAGGGACAGTTTCCTAAAACATCAAACCACCCGGATGAATAATTGAAGCGGCGGAGGAGGCATTCGGGGCGTGGATTATAGAAATTTGCATAAATTATAAGCGACTAAGAGTCGAGGCGAAGATAGCAGCTGGTATCGGCGGAATGCGTTCGCTGCAACAGACGAAATCTGAAATGGTGTCGAGTTCCGTAATATAGTGGGAATGGCGCAAAAAGCGCGGCCACCGCGTCATTATCATAATCACCAGCGCTACGTGCCACTGCGGTGACGCCCAAGCAGTCTCGCTTTGTGAGCGTGCATTAAGAGCGAGCAGCGTCGAGCTCACTCATTCCACAATTAATTTGCAAGATACCGTAAGATGAGTGATTTTACTTCTTCAGTGCCATTTAAAATGTATATTGTATTCCGCTCTGGCATATTTTATTTTTAAAAAATCTTGCACATTTTTTAATATTCCCTTTCCTGTTACTCGGATAAAGAACATTTGTGTAGGTGGCAATTCAACAGTGTCGAGATATATTTGATTTATAATTTTGGTAATGGAAATATTATAATAATCTCTCCTGATATCCCGATACTTAAGTTAATTAGATTTATAATTGATATCCTCCTATTACGATTAATAAGATCAGAATCCGACCTTCTTTCTTTACAGGGATTCCGATAAATTAACAAAAATATAATAATAAAAGATAATTAACAGTCCCACGTAATATAATTAACGTGATAAAATATCTAAGCTAATTTTATTTCACATTATTGTTATAGTACAATATGTTAATTAAATTAGTTGCTGGCTCATATAAAATTAACTATTCAACACTCAATAAATTACAGCACAAAACGTATAATTTATTTTAATGATTGAGGTTACGTTTAATGTATGACATTGGCTGTATTTAATACGATCATTATATAAAAGTTGTCTGGTGACCGCAGAGCAAATGACACGAACAGTGCTAATGTCAGCAGGCAGTAATTCAAGGGAAGTTGAACCACAACACGAGAGTAATTTCGAACAGGATATAAGCGTTAAATATTAAACCTATTGGCATACAGCCTTTACGGACTGTAATTCATGCCATTGCAGCAGTTATGTGTTTCGATGGGCCATGCTAATTATATAATTGTCCCATTTATTACTAAATTAGCGATATAAAACGTCATTACCATTGCCTATAAAATCATAGGTAGCTATAACTTTTAAAAGTTCCATGAATAATAAAATATGATCACGTAAATACATAAGATCTATTAATATTCATTTTTGTATTAATAGGATAGATAGAAGACACGATTGCGAACGATATTTCCAAAGGACGTCGCCGATAAATCTCCGGATAAAAATGAGTAAAAATAAGTGTTGAGGAGAAATAAGAAATTTGATTTACGCGGCAATATCCTCAGGTGCATGGTGCAGTCTGACACGTATGTATGTACGTGTCCCATTTACGAATATCATGCAGCCCGGGCGACACATAGCTTACTACTTTACAATTTTTAAATAAAGCTTACGATTCCCCGGCCGGAGTTTAACGATCTCGTAAAACTTCACACCCACTTATGATTTGATCTACATTTCATATCAAAGTAATTGCTCCATCGGTGAAATGTTATGTACGGTTGGTGACATTTGAGATTTATTTAAAAAAATGTGGATATTAAATAGAATACAAGTAATATAAAATGTAGATTATAAAAGGCAATTCTTAATTGTCACACTGATACTGTCTAGGTTAACGTTCATTTATAATAAACTTGATCAATTACGCTAAGAAATAATTCGTAATATGTATCAACAATAAAATGATTTTAGACACTTTAAGAACAATTAATGAAATACAAAATATGGATTAATTTTCATTGCCTATTTTAATGTCTTAGATATAACATATTGTACTTCTTATATATACTAACGAGAATTAAGGTCCTGTTCTTATATAATTCATAATAAGTTTGTATAAGGGTTTTAGCATTATCTCTGTTTTCTCAAAGCCATTTCCTAGAATGTTCTAATAGAGCCAGTAAAGCTTACCTACCTCATTCTGATAAGTAAAGCAAAATTTTAAATTCGAAGCAATAACTTTGTAGTAATACTTTGTCTGTTTCTGAATTATTATTATTATTGTAATTAATTATTACACGACAAAATTATATCTGAGTTAACTTTCTAATAAAGACTAGTAAGATGTAACCTGTACGGCTTACATTCCTCTCTGGGGAGTCCAATGAACTGTTGTATTAATCTTAATTATAAGCCTAATATTAATTGAATGAGACAATATTTTGTCGATCTTCTTCGCTATATAATAACTGACGAAGATGAAAGGGTTGAAAGGTTTATTTTAAGAAATAAAACAATAATTTCTACCTAAAAATACATCTAAACCAAAAACACATGTAACATTTGTACAATAAAAACACAAAACAAACAGGTAATTATGGAAAGATAAGACGCATTCGAAACAGGGCGAGGCTGAATGTGGGATGGGTGAGGAGGGAGAAAAGATACAAAGATGTCACTGATAGCAACACGACCTATGATATCATGGAAATGATATAACATTACGTAACATAAAAACATTACACTGAATACGGGTGACCATAATACATATAAAGTATACACATACAAACAAATCCCGTTACAGCATTCAAAAATGTTATTTCCTATTGCGTCGAACAAAAAAAAAAGATCTAGAAACGAAAATGTTATTACGGCGCTTTAATCCTCTGCAATATATAAAATAAAAGCTGCAAGTGGACGCTACAGGGATGCGGTAAAGCCGATTGATGCGCGATTGAAAACGAAGCTAAGCTCGTGACCATTGTGTCCTAGGCGGAGGTCAATCATTGGCGAGGCAGAAAGAAAACAACTAATTGTTTAATTCCAAACCATTACAGCTAGTATTAAGGGGGGATTATTCACGGGCCATATAACCCGACATCGGAGCGCCGCACCATTGCAGTACGCGCTGACTTATGATGGAGGCTTCGAGCCCACCCCATATAGCGAGAATGACGTACATTTACATCTACCTTACATACACACTGGATCTACGAGGATACTCAGAGACGTGATTATCACGAGCTTCGATTATAAACATATAACATATTGGTGGCATACAGCTTAAATTGAAAACACCATTTAATCCTTTATTATTTGTTAACCAAAGTAATTCGCATCGTTTAATAATAAAAACCAAATTAAAATTCAATAATAGTAAATCAATGATAAAATTTCGTTAATGGTAACGTTTCATCGGACGTATTTGTTCTGCATTAAATGCAAACACAATAACCGTACATAATATATTGGATCGTTTAAATATAATTCTCTGAATATATAAATAAATATGCATAAAAATATATTAATATTGACAATATGGAATGTTGCCAAATGGTTACGATTTTTAAATCAATAATGTATGTACATATAACGCGATGCTGTAAATGACATACGATAGTTCATGTTGAACGAACGCTCTATTTATTAGCTAAGTGAATTAATTTGGCTTACAATATCGATAGCAATTATCGATTGATTCAACGAGTTAAGTAGTGCGGGGTCCACTAGTTGGGTGCACCCTCATCAGCCGCCTTGATTGATTGTGCGGAATTAAGCCGCCGCGGCCCCGCTCTCGACATCACTAGACATACCTAGCAATAAATACACAATACTGTAAGTAGAAACGTAGCAGATTATATTCTGCGAAATTGATTTGTTTTTTTCCATCCATAATTGTTATGTAAAAGTGTATTATTAATGTTATATTTCTGAGTATGAGTGGCAACAATTTTATTTGCAAAATTTCTGACCCAATCCAATCACGAATTAAAATGAATTATTAAATAGCAATTTTATTTTATAGAAAAGCATAGTAAGATTGGATCGAAACACAACATACGAACCGTCTACCGCTTCTCAATCAATTACCTCATTTAAAACTGTAAAGATTTATGAATGTTAAACTGTTAACGTTACGTCTGCATCGTGACTATGCGAACTCGGACTAAGCGTACTGAATACTTATGTGGAGACTGAAATGAACTCACAATATAAAAAATAAAAATTTGTAGTGATCCTGACATGTATAAGTTTGACATCTCAGGAAATAGAAACGTCAAGACGTCTCTATTCCTCCTATGATTGAAAGGCGACAGTCGGCGGTACATTAAATCACATGGAATCGTTTTCTTCATTTATATACTTATAATTTGATAATACCAAGTGAACACACAATGTGTATTCGATTAAGGGAACGGCTTTCAGTATACGAGCCGTAACATAAAATCGGACGGTTTCATATTATTTATCGTTATCCAGCTATTCTAACAAATAAAGATAGCAAAAGTGAATGTGATAAAGTAGGTCGTTTCATAAATACCCCGGTCCATTAGTGCTTCAATATCTCAACCACGCGGTTCTTTGTTATTCCAGGGAGCGCGGCTACGGCGCTTTGCTTTAGATATTGGAAGGATAATGTACTGGGCGAGATTTAGACTCCGACGCTGTCCAACTCACACACCCTACAAACCCCACGCTACTTCTTTTTTAACGTTTCTACGGACTTATTTTTACTATAAATGCTATTTTAAATCTTTTATCAAGTTTTATTACAATATATCGTTTGAAAGGAGAATATTACAGACGGAATGTAATTTTTTCTTATATCATACTTTTGATACAAATGCTTAATTAATAGTATTTTTAATTTTTCTCATATAGAATGAGAGTAATATTTAAACTCATTTCAAACATGTCGTATTCTGACTCAATCACAAACAGGAAGAAAAGGAGATGGAATATGCTTTGCGATTGATGGCTGGTACTTGAATAAACGATATTAAACACAATTTACAAAAACAACA